GCTTTGTTGTTTTTCAGCCGCGTAATCGCTATTCGTACCTCGTCATGTTGTTGTTTTACTACTATGTAAATACACTGAGAGAAAAAATAAACCATTTCCTCTTTGTTTCAAACTAAAACACATATGATATTGCGCCAAACGACCCTTTGTTTATTTTAAAAAGATTTATTTCGTTGTGCACTTCAGAGATGCCTTTTCGTGATTAAGAAAAATCTAAAAAAATAAAAAATTGCAAGTACCGTCTATATTAGCACCCGACCCGGACCCTCGTGAAAGCCCACAAATTGTATTTTATTTATTTGATTTATTAAATGAAAAATAATAATGAAATTATTATAATAATAATGAAATTATTATTTTACAATTTGAAGGAAAGGAGCACTAGCTGCCAGGGCTTACGGCTCGCTGCTCTAATAAAATAAATTTTTCTAGAAAAGTTAAATTGTTAGAGAATTTGTTGAAAGGAAAAAATACTATATACTACTGATACATTAATTACTACTACATTAAAAATGTGAGTTATTAAATAAAAGAATAAAATACACAAGATAATTATATACAAGTCTTTTAAACAAGTAAAAATATATATGAGAATTCAAATCTCTTTCCTTAGGTCTGATTTAATTGATTACGATTTCCCAGATTTTCCGATGAAGGAATTCTCAGCAATTTCGAAGAAACTTGATTATCGAATAACTCTTTCCAGGTGGAAGCAAATTGCGTGCAGTCGTCTAGGAGATGTTTAGCAGTTACTGATGTCGAAGAGAGGTATTGGCAAGGAGGTTACCTCAAACCATTTAAAATATGTGAATATGATATAAGTTTGTGTGTTATATGGAGGCGGATGAAAGTAGTAATATTATAGGTCCGGCATGCGGTTGGGTAGTTTGTTTTACTACCGGTAGGAATAACATGTATGAAGTTGTCTTGAAAAGTATTGATCAAAGAGAAAATGTCTTTGTTCACCATATAATCAAAAGTGTGAAGTGGTTCAGTTGCGGCCAGGGTGGGCAAAAACTCGGAGTTCGAGCGAGCGAGCGAGCAAACTCCTACTCAATGCCTCGCAGACAACGAGGCGCTCGCAGCTCGTACTCGTAGCAGCAATGAGGCGAGGCTCGCGCTCCTATTAAACGAGCGAGGCTGTTGCGTGTTGCCTCGCTTGAAGTGCGAGGCGAGTAGCTGTCTGCATACTCACTCTGCTAGGAAAGACGAGCGAGCGCTCCGAGTGTACTATACAACACATGGATTTTTGTGCATAAAAATGTGGGAATGTATGTCAATAGATTATGTACGAAAGTATGTTAATAATTGTATGTACATATGCATATATATATGTAAAGTATTATATTAGGGCAGCATTTAAAACGACAAATAAAATTTATTACATACATAAGCATAGATTATGAAATTAATTATTTTGTAGAGTTATATTCAGACATGTGTACACACATAACATGCATATTTATATATGTTTGTATGTACGTATTTATGTATACATGCATTTATGTATGTATGTACATATGCATGTGTTTTGTCTTTACAGAGAAAAGTAAGTAACGAAGATATTATAATCGTT